AGGTGGTGGTGCACTTCTATTAGGCCAATTCACAACAAAAAGTCAGTGCAGAGTCTTTGAGTGTGAGTAATAAACTAATCAGTCACTTCACATTTTATGCACTTAATTTCATGTACTGAATTTTAAGATTCGCGGTGCTCCACTAGAGATTTCAATAATTTTATCAACTGATGATTCACATAAGTGTCATGATTCACACTATACCCTTTAATTTTAACTCTCACACACAAAGTAAAATCATAGAATGAAAAGATTGTGTCCAGTCTTCATATTTTTATTATCACCATGGACCATAGACATGTGGCATCCTTGCTTTGCCTTCAAGCTTTTTAAGATAATCTTGCAGTTCAGGTGTGTATATTATTTCTCATTGAATTTCGTATTATCGTGTGTAAACTTGCGTGTATTCTTTATAAAATTTAATTCAGACAGTGTGATTCAGTATTAGTTACTCTAACACTAAATTGTGCAGCACTAACTTTTCTTTTTGTTGATCTTTACAGCCCCCATTGGTACATAGCCGGTAGCGTCGACCCCTCCATTTTCTCTTTTTTTTTAATTCACCCTGCATGCCAGATAGCAATTTTTCAACTGAAAGCATATTCATAAGAAACAGTCCCCATAATTTAGATGTTAGCTAAAGGACCTTTAAAGATGTTCATCTCTGAATGCCATCACGAGCAACGCCGTGTATATTGGTTAGTTTTAGGAAAAATTAAATAATGAGTTCATTACCATTCAATACCGGTTTTTTGAATATGGATAATCAAGTGTATGTGTATTAAGTTAGATCTCGTTCCTTTCACCCGTGCTGGAGCCTTTATTTGGAATAATTATACACCCAAATAAGGGGAAAAAAGAATTTTGGGCCCCTATACAATAACAGAACATCTAATTAAGTCCACCACCCACCCCCCTTTATTATATACAACAAACACATTTGGAATAATTATCAACCCAAATAAGGGGAAAAAAGAATTTTGGGCCCCTATACAATAACAGAACATCTAATTAAGTCCCCCCCCCCCCCCCCTTTTTTATATACAACAAACCCGCCCCCCCCCCCTTCCCCTCCTCTCTTCGTATCTAATTCTTTTTGCTTGAAAATTTCGTTAGCGTACCAACTTATTGGTGATCAAGAATCTGGCAACAGGGAACTAAGTACAAAACAAATGGAGCTATAGAAGGTTTCGGGATGTTCAAAGACGAAAATAAGCGCTGTATAATTCAGTATTAACTATTAGTTATCTATCCCTGTCTGTGTAATTTAATGAAGAATGCACATAAGTTTACTTGCGATAATACAAAATTCAATCAGAAAAAATATATGCACCTGAACTGCAAGATTACCCTTTTTAAAATACTATGTTCTTTGTCCTTAACCTTCTTTAGATTGGCTTATATTTTAATTTGAATATATAATATAGCAATACCCTTGAGTAGCCTATGCCTATACAGGCTGTTACTGTTATGGTCCAACACAAGCATACCAAAAGCCAGCCATACTTATGAATAGGACTAAAATTATATTTAGACATTTCAGGTCTAGACTTCAAAAATTTAGTTTAAGTTTGTTTTCAAGTAGTCCATTTATTAAGCCCTTTCAGCCCTAGCTATACATCATATAACATGTCCATAAAATCTATTAATTTAATGATAAAGAGAATAAGGTCTAGTCTGAGTGGCTATTGTTTCCTTTTCTTCCTGACCAGATGATGATTTCAGAATTCGTCATTTGCTTTCTAGTTCTTTTAGATTCGTGTTATGCAGGCATGTGTGTGTTGTCTTGTCTTTAAGTTATCACTTAATTACATGTGCTCCTTATTTCCATATTATACAAGATCACCATTGCCACTTATTCATTTTGCTTGTGGTTCCTATGGGGCTTAGGTTGTAGTGCTGCCTTTAATGCATAATAATTAAAGGACTGCATTCAAGCTAATGATATAGCAGAACGAGGTATGTTAGCTTCTGACAACAATGGATATTTCTTGAGTTGTCCTGTGCGTGCTGAAGAAGGCTCTATGCAGAAACGATCAAATCTTGTTTTCCTGTTAATTGATTCAAGTTTCGTTGTGCTATTTCATTGCTTTTAATGCACAACTTTCCAATTTAGTGATAGTAAGTAAATATTCCAACATCAAACCAAATGTATATTATTTAGGCATCTCTTGATCTGAACTTTGGGTTGGAGATGCAAATTATGTTGGCATTTTCCTTTGCTGTTAATGTTAACTGCAGCAGAGTTGTATAGCCTGTTATACTCTGACTATATTTTTGCACAATAAATAAATAGGCAGTTAATGGCTTATTCTGCCATTTTGCAGATTGGTAACCTGGTTTTTTTTTGTTTTTTTTGTTTTTTTAAAAACCAATTAACCTGTAAATCATTCTTAAGTTAACAATGTACTTCCTAGTGCAGGGGTGAGCAAATTTTTTGTGCTGAGGACCACATTGACAAAAGCTATTGGAGGCCGCATGTATTTTATGTCCAATTTTTACAGGTTGATCAACATTTATCCATATTATAGGTAAATTCACATTTTAACACTGCATGATAAAAGTCAATAGAAAATTAGAAAGAACTTTGATTTAAAAAATGTTAAAACAATAACGGTACATGAAATTCTGTAACATTCAACAAAATAACTTAAAAGCAAAGTAATTTTTGTATTTCTAAATGCCTTCAAGGGCTGCATAATATCAGTTGCTGGGTCATAGTTTGCCCACCCCTGTCCTAGTAGATGGTAGAAGTCAATCTAGGTTGTTTTAATAGAATCTTGGATGATTTTCTGGGAATGTTCAAAAGGTATACGGTCAAAACCGACTATCTTTACTATTAGGCAGCGACCCTCTTAACCTATTGCCATTTTTGTTTTTTCTGTGACCTTGTTAAGACCGGGGTCTGTGCACCTTGAATTATTATAGATTAAGCTCTTCCAGTATTTTACACATGAACTTAGTTGCGTTATCCCAGCTATCGCGTTACCCAGCTAGTTTACAATATTTCTAGAGTCTGTTCTTTAAATTACCTAAACTTGATACCAAATCCTAAATACATTTTGATACATTTTCATTTCAGACTTATAAAACAGGCTTGATCTTTCTTCCCCACCCCATATAGACTCTAACAATGTCTGGTAAGTTGGGGCCTCTTAGCTACACACAATCTGGTAAGTTGAAACCATTTCCAAATTTTTTTGTTCTCTTCTGTTGGTTTATATGTGAGGGACCTGTTAGTCCACATTTGTGTCATCCGTATACTCTAATGGGTAACTTTGTGTTTTTTATCTTATCTCTATTTATATGTGCTCATGCTGCCCAACTTTTCTGAAACTACTACCCTATTTGCTATTACTCACAAAATCATAATAAAAATGTTCTGAACACTTGATATTCACCTAAAATTCTGTTGTACAGCAGATAAAAAATATCGAGGTGGTGGGGGCCCTCTCAATTTCAGCCCACTTCATACGCTTTAAGTAGCTTTTTTGTAATGTGTGTCTTCTCTTTACATTTTAGTTTTAATTAATTGGGGGATGCAAAATTATGGGAGACTGCAATCACACACTTGTTAATATCTGTCGCAGAAAAGCGGTTGCAATGACATGGGGACCACTTACAGAAAAATCCAATCGCAACCAGTTTTTAACTTATATTCATTCGGAGTGAAATAAATATGGTATATATGCGAAGCATTATCAAGAATTTGACTCATCATACATCTTTATTTATTTAAAAGGATTTCATGAATTGAATAATTTTAAAGATGCATTTATTGGTTTATTATTTATTGGTTTTTTTTTTGTTTTTTTTTTGTTTAATTTTTAAAAATGAATTTTTAAAAAAATCTATCATGATTAAAATGGCCCAATAACCGGTTTTGAAAATCAACTAGTCAGTTATTAGTTTCAAAAACGTTTGCCAGCAAGCTATCCGGTTATCAATTAACATCCTTACTCAATTACTCAAAACACAGTAATTCCGTCTTGTCTACATCATCATAAGTGTCCATTTCCACTTTTATATTGTAACACAATTTACTGTAACTTAAATATTTTACATTAATAATCCTGTTAATAAAATGTGACCAATCGCTGGAAAGTCTGCCTTCTTTCTCACATTTGTTTGTTGGGGTCCAAAGTTGTTGCATCTTCTGCATCTGGCCAGAATTGTCTAAATTGTCTTCAGACTATGGTAAAACTGCAGGCATTGTTTAATGGTCTGATCTGCCTGGCTTCAGTATGTTAAGTCAGGATTGTTTCTTTCCAAAGAGACCAGTATCAGAAAATACTATTAAGGCATCTTTAAAGTTTCATGGTAGTTGCAATTGTGGAAATACGTCTGTGATAACAATTTCATGGTCGCATCCTTCAGTTTGTTCAGTAGGTCTCAACCTTGTTTTGGTGCAGTGACCCCTTTAATATTTTCAAAGGGGTGACGATCAACAACCAGGACTACCTTTAAAATAACGAAAATAATGAAATATTATTTTTTAGATTTATAAAAAAAATATGAGTAGCAATTTTTTTATGTCAAATCTCAAAATAAAGTAAAATAAGTCCACAAAAAAATTAATTTAAAAAGTTAGAATGTATACCGGGTATTAAAAGCTTGATTATGCTAGATGAGATATTCTGGGGCTTGTCTTAGCGAGAGCTCAACACAGCTAGACTTTAACAAGAGGTCTACACAATTATGGTTAGCATATTTTAGCGGATATATTATTTTTGGTCCTTTGCACGCGATATATTCAGCGGTGAGTAAGCAAGTGTTTTACTGTTCTTGGAAAGCTTATTCGCATGTGTTTTTGGGTTCTTTTGGAATTTGAGGCATTGCAAGTTGATGTGGATGGATTCCAGGGACACATTAAGGCCTTTTTTTTATTATTACTTTTTGTGCCCACCAATTGATTATTTTTCCTTCCCTCTGGATAGTTCACCATACATTGTCTGTTCTCGAGCAAAATGTGGTATATTTATTAGCTGACCCTTTGGAGGTTTGCAACCCACTGATCCAGAATTTGCAGAGTTAGATATTCAGTCGCAGTAGAGGACAGCTAAAATCTACTGCAGGGGGTCAGAGAGAAAGGTGGATAGTTCTGTCAGATCTGCGCATGTGGAGCTAGTTTGATACCTTTTTTTTTTGTGCTCGTTGTATGCTCTTCTTCAGACCTGTTTACTCTTACGATTTTGGTGCACATGTACGATTTTGAGGTGTATAATGTATAATTATTTTTTTACTATTAAGATAATGTATTGAATGGTTTTTTGATGATATTGTACGATTTTAAGAGTTTGAAGGTAAACAGATCTGAATCTTATATCTTTTTTTGTGTCTTGTTCAGATTTCATTGGGAAAGTTAAAGTTTAAATTCACAGCGATGTTGTTATAAAAGAGGATTTAAAACAATTCTTAATTTTTAAAATCTGTCTTTAGCTTTGGGACACATTACTAGCTTTTTTTTTTCCAAGTGGGAAAGAAGTGTATGTTTTGGATTCTGTGCCCTTTTAAACCTCAGTTTAGGATCCTCTTGAAGTAGGCTGATACGTTAGTTTTTGTCAGACTCCAGCTTGTCCTTTCCAAGTTATAAATGGGGTTTGTCTCCCCTGGTAGGTTGCTGATTGGGCTTTTTTTTTTAACTTGTGGAAATATAAATGCTTTGTGTTAATATACATTATGCTAGAATCATATGCCCATTTCCATTCGAGTTTATAGGCTGTGCATCTGGCGTTCAACTCTTAAAGCATCTTTGCCTAGCACGCAACTTTCAGACCCCTGAATGTCCCCATTTATAATACATGGGGGGGGGGTGTAAGCACGGTAGTTGGGGAAAACTGGCTTGAAGGTTGTTGCCTTACTCAACCAACACAATAAAATTGTAATCTGATTTAACTGGAGTCTTTAGTTAAGCATATGTTTTTACTTTTCTATCATTTTAATAGATGTGTATATAGGAATATTGGTACAAAATACTATTTAGTAAGGCACATGTCTTTTTTCTTTCGTAGAAAAATCAAAGGAAGACCCAGTGGAGGATGAAGAAGAGGAAGAAGGCGAAGAAGAAGAATTTACTGTAGAAAAAGTGGTGGATTCACGAATGCGGGGTGGAAAAAAAGAATATTTGTTAAAATGGAAGGGTTATCCAGAGTAAGTCTCTTTAAAACTTGTTTAAAATTTACCTTTGATTTAAGCTTTAAGGTTAAGATTGTAAACATCTATAATAGTTGGAAACAATTATACTTATTTCTTGTACCGGTAATAGATAAATAGACAACTTCATCTCTACGTTGTAAATTTAAATTATGAATAGATGGTATTTAAAAATATCATGAGTTAACTTAAATGAACAAATTTCAGCTCTGAGAACACTTGGGAACCAGAAGAAAATTTAGACTGCCCAGATTTAATTGCAGCATTTGAAGAGAAAAAAAAGAAAAAAGACTCAGAAAAGGGTGCCAAGAGGAAAAGTACTTCTAATGGTGCCAAGGATGATGCAAAAAAGAAGAAAAAAGATGTAGGAAAATCAGTAGTATGTATTGTATTAGAATTTTTCATATTGCAATAATTCAACTTTCTTCCAGTACAATTTTTATATTTAAAAGAAAAAGATTATATACAATACAGTCCGTTGGAGCCAAACCAACCCCATTTCGAGGTTGTTTACTATCGTTCTTAGCACAGCAGAAATCCATTGCCCATTACTATTTATAATTCTACAAGTTGTGATTTTTTCGCTGTAAAAAATGGCTATCTAAGCCTTGTATACACTTTTAAAAGAACTTAGACCTAATGAAGCTTCACTATTTCATGAGTGGGAGGGTCTCTGAAACTATTTTTAGGTTAACTTTTGCTTTAATCATTTATTTTTATTTAGGTATTTTTTATTTTCTTGCTTCTAGTTTATTTTCTGTAAATTAATTAGATAAAGAACCTTCATTTAAAATGGAGTTATGTCCCTTTGCTTGGGCGCTGGATAGGCTGAATAGGCTTGGACTGTAAAGGGTTAATAACAGATTAACAAAGGCTTCAGTGACTCGATGTTATAAAGTTTAAAAGGCATCTATTTTAAAAATATAAATTTATACAATATGCAAATGGTGAATTCTTACTTATTTACTTGGGCATACGCTGTCTACAAGAATTTTCCCTTCATATGTGTCCTGTGCTTTTCTTTGTATTTGCTTCCTGGTGTATCCCATACTTTAGGTGTCTTCCCTTAGCTCGCGTCCATATTTTTTGGCCTTCCTCTCTTCCTATTTGCCTGTGGATTCCATGTTAGGGATTGGATTGTAATGTTATCTGGGGGTTTACGAAGAGTGCGCCCTATTGACCTCTATCTTTTCCTTATGTTACCAGCAATAGATTCTTGCTATGTCCTTACCAGTAATTTTATGTTCAGTGTCTTTCTAAGACAAGTGATTCACCTTGTTAAGTTCTGTCCTTTCTGCGTGATGCTCGTTGTCGGTCTCCAAGTTTTGAATTTGCCCGATGTTAATCAGTCTTGTGTGTTCATTACACAATAGTCTGAAACTGAGCGTTTGGGGAACATTTCCCAAGCGCTCACCAAGGTTTCCACTCTGAAAGAAGTTGAACCATGGCTAGTATTGGACCAATGCCTCAAAGACTAACCCTGGGTGAAACCTCCTATGATCTGCATCTTCCCATAAACCATCCACTCCCTCTGTAAAACTGTTAGTACATTAAGTTTTTACCTTAGAGGGAACCTGAATAGTTTTTTTCTCAACTTGCAGGATACAGATAACAAGCCTCGTGGGTTTGACAGGGGGCTTGCTCCTGAACGAATAATAGGTGCAACAGACAGCAGTGGGGAGCTCATGTTTCTCATGAAGTGGTAAGATTTATTTTTCTCAATACAACTCCAACTGCCAGATCCGGCCAACTGTTGCCATGTAGATAGCAATAATCATATTAATGAAGATCTCGCAAGAATGGAGACCAAGGGATCTTACATGGTTTTTTTTATCTCACATGTAAGGGTATTCATTATTTTAATAGCATAATTTTATATCATTGAAATGAACAGCAAAATAGATTTGTTTTATATATTTTTAGACCAATCCACAGTGAAGGTGAAGTTCTCTCTTTGCTAGGGTTGTAAATTGTAAACATTTCTGAGTGCTCAGAATTGAACGGGTTAAGCTGACCGCTGGTCGGAATAAACAGGATAACTTCCAGGTTCTCTTTTAACTATATAAAACATATAAGTAAATCTAATGCTTTTAGCTCAGCTGTTGAAAGGTTTTTAAAAATGAATAAGTACTTTTGGGTATCAGAATGCAAAAAGAACCGTTCCAGGACCCTGTTCCAAGACAATAGTTTTCCTTTTAAAATAAAAATGAACTGATTTTATCCTTTCCTGTGGCTCACACACTCATAGATCCCAGTCCTTTTCTTCAAAATATTTTCAGTCGTTTGAGGCATCCCTAACTTAGCAAGATCTGTTTTCATGCTAATCAATAAGATATTTCTTAACTTCAATTGTAGCTCTAAGAGCTGTCCTTACTCATGTTTTCCTTAGTACACTTTTTAAGATCCATAGTGAATACATCAGACCTGTTTGCTCTTATGATTTTGGCTTATACTGCAGGATTTGAAATGTCTGTTATGATTGTACGCCAAGACTTGTCAGAACTACGTTTTTAAAAGACTGGGTTGAACATATACACATTCCGGTTGTTTTTCCTGTTTTTTTTTTTTTTAAAATAAATTAATATTACATTAGCTCCTTAGTACATCCAGCAGTGAATGAATCAAGAAATACTATTTGTTGGACCATCTATAATTACATCAAAGGGAAGGGGGGTTGGGGGGGGGGGGGGCAATATTTTCCAGTAGAGTCAATGAACTCCTTAGATACACTCAGTAGATGACTATATATCTTTTTTAATGCTGTGCACTTACAATTCAGGAATGCAATTAATTCAAAATTTATTTCTTTTTTAAAAAAGTTGGGTTCATACAACAGCCTCCCCAATCGGTTATTAATTGTTATACATATTTTATTTACCAAACAGGAAAGACAGTGATGAAGCAGATCTAGTTCCTGCTCGACAAGCTAATGTGAAATGCCCACAGATAGTTATAGCTTTCTATGAGGAGAGACTTACTTGGCATACACACAATGATAACGACGATGATGACAAAAAGGGGGACTGAAGTGAAAGCATGATATCATTTGTTTTGTTTTTGTATGTTTGTGTTAGACTTTCGTAAGAAAATCCAGTCATATTCTAATTAAGCCATTGTTAAGAATCGCCTGGAAATTTATATTAAATGCAGATACTATTTGTGCTTCTTCTAAAATTATTATGAAATCAATATAATATCTGCTATCTGATATTTTAATTGTTTAAACATACTTTTTAAATATTTCTATTATCTTAATTGGAAGAAATATTGGATTTATGGCTTTTTTTTTTTTTTCTTTTTTTTTTTAAACTTAGACTTACCGATTTTAAACTTTTAAGGTTTTTTGGTAAATTTTTTTTAAATTAATTTTAACTATTGCTTTTTTTATATATCTGATATTTTAATTGTTTAAACATACTTTTTAAATATTTCTATTATCTTAATTGGAAGAAATATTGGATTTATGGCTTTTTTTTTTTTTTCTTCTTTTTTTTAAACTTAGACTAACCGATTTAAAACTTTTAAGGTTTTTTGGTAAATTTTATGTAAATTAATTTTAACTATTGCTGTTTTGAATAGAAGATGTCTATGAGAACAAAAAAATATATTATTTTTTTTTTCCTTCTATTAATTTTGCATTGATTCGGTTTTGAAATGAATGTTCTATAGAAAGAGTGCTCTACAAATGTCACCCTCGTTGAGATAATCATAGTATTCTACAGTTTTGAAAAACTGGTGCAGATTTCTAAACAATCATTTCTTTTAGTCTCAACACTTAATTATCACAGATATAAAAAAAATGGCTGAGCTGCATTACTGTATGATAAACCTATTGTAAATTGTTTTTAAAAAATCATATTGTAGTAGTCTTGAAATGCTTTGAAGTATTAGACCATTAAAATTGTGTACTTTTAGGTTATCAAAATCCTCCACATCCATGAAGGGTGATTAGGCAATGTTCTTTTTGGGAAGAAGCAAGCGTTATGAAAGACAATGAATCTTATTTAGAGGGTGGGATTATGAAAGTGTACAATTTGTGCATGAATAATAGATACATTTTCTGCTGAACGTGGTTTAAAATTTACTTCCTTTCTTGAACATAAACGTCCTTTGAAGTACAGATAAATTCACTTGGGTTTCTCAAGAAGATGAATTATTATATCATTTATGTGATGGACCCTGTTCATGGCTTAATCTTAGGTATTTTGACTGGTCAGCTTCATTTATATCATTCAGTAGACCTTTCAAGGTTATTTTAGTGTTCAAGCTATGTGAATGTGTAAGAGAATTAATGTTTTATTGTCATAATTTGCATTTATATTACCATACATCACTTGTGTTGTAAATGTCAATTTATTATCCTGTTTTTCTATATTTTTTTTAAAAATAAAATTTTAATCATGATAAACGTTTTACTAAGAAACTTTCTTTTTTTTTTCACAATCAAGCAGTAAAGTTTTGAACTATTTAGTAGAAGTTGTTGATCTCAGTTGGAAATATTTTTTTTAAAAAGACACTTCCATTAAGTTTCCTAACGATTCCATTCAGTCCCATCCTACTATTTCTATCTGAGGTAAAATCTTTCAACCATAAACAAAAAAAATCTGCTTTGTTTTAAAGTAGTGAATTAGCCACAAACAAAAACACCCTTGACACCCCCCCCCCCTATTTTTTGTTTCAATAATTGATTTGTTTATAAATCACTTACGGTACCGGTAATTATTTTCATATTTGAAATATCTTAATAAAGACAATGTCATTTTGAATGTAGTTGCCGGTCCGCCCATTGTCATTTTTAGGGTCAAAATATAATTAATCTGGCTTTGGTCGCCATTGTCATTTTTAGGGTCAAAATATAATTAATCTGGCTTTGGTGCCCGGTGTAATTTCGCAACTTATCCATGGGTCCGCTGAACTTAAAATTTGGAAAACGCTGATCTAGAACTAAGAAACTGAAAATTAGGGTATCTCTTTTTATTATGTATGCAGGCATTCTGTTAAGTATTGTCACGATTACTCCACATTTGTGTCATCATGTGACCTCAAGAATTTCTTTCAACATGGAATTGATTAAACTATTTTCATACCATTTAACGCCAATTTAAAGTTGGATTCATTTTTGTATGATTTGGTAGGCTTTTTTGTATCCCTTGCTTGATATGAATTTTTCATTTTGTAAATACAGCCATTATTCATTCTGATGATTGAGGGGGTATACAATATTGTCTTCAAATTATCAAAAACTTTAATATTAGTTGATCCTGTTTAATGATGAAAGAATATATTAGTAACATAGATAACAGCATCTTTCTGTTGATCTTTAAATGGATAAAAAATCCATAGAAATGTCTAGAATAGTTTATCATCAATTTTTTTTTTTTAATTTGTATATTGTCTGAAATAAAATTCATGACCAAGTAATTTACTTTTGTGTTTTTAAATTTTTGTTTGAAAACTTTTTTCATGTTTAGTATATGAGTCGAGCATATTTTCATAATTGTAATTAAATTGTAATCCCATTGAAAGTTTCATTATGTTGTCAGACACAAGTGTTAGCACTTTTTGTGCTGTCAAAAGAATTTACCAATATCTTCTTCAAATTAGAGTATTAGCTTAGTGGGAGCTAAAAATCCTTATAAAATAAATCTAAATATGCCACACTAAAGAATGAATCGATTAATTGATTAGTAATGAATCGATTAATTGATTAGTAATGAATTGATTAGTAATTAAAAAAAGCTTTTAAAACAAAAATATGGTTTTAAAAAATTAAATGTAGAAAGGATTTCTTGTTCTAGAAATAGAAGTAGGAATTTCATTTTATGATACAAATTATAATAGGGGCGATCAGCTGGTTTGCCATCCATGGTAATAAGGGGAGAGACTGCAATCAGGTGAGCACAATTTAGAATGAATAAAACAGAGTAGGGTTAAGCCGTAGTTTGCCTTCCCCTGCGTTAAGCTATAGCGTAACTGTCCATTATGGAAGAAGTACTCTCTATTGCCAGACCCGAGACAGTAATTATAATTATTATAGCTGCTATTCAGCCTTAACGCCATGGTGTGTTATGATGAAGATATCAAGTCTTGTTGTGTTATGATATAAGTTATCAAGTCTTGTTGTGTTATGATATAAGTTATCAAGTCTTCTTGTGTTGTGTTAGCTGATATCAAACCTTGTTGTGTTACGATAGAAGAGATCAAGCAGAGCCGTTCTTAGGAGTTTGGGGGCCCTAAGCTTGGAGCGTAGGCTGGTGGCCCCGGAACGGGGGGTGGAGCTCCCTCGAGCTGAGGAGAAAACACCACCCACCACTGCGGCACCTCCATTCTGCCTTCATCAATGTTTCCTCTTTCCCATTCCCACGGCCAAGCCCCCGATTTCCTGTCTGCCACCCCCAAAG